TTCCCAAAAAAATGTAACAAAATAACTATGATGAGAGAGCAAGGGTCACTACTTTTATACTAGATTGCACCCACAATTCAATCTAAGATTTAAAAATGACCCGATAGATGAAACGCATTAAAGGTTCATGTACTCCTCCATCATGCCACCACGCGTGTACGATCTATAGTTTTCTAAAAGGAATTGCGTGAAGCACGAAAATCTAATAAAATATAGGCGCTATAAACGAAAAGTTGCCCATTTTCAACTTTACCTGTCTCTTTTATTAAACTTGCACCCCCTAAATTTATATTCATTTCCTTCCCTATGCGTGTTATGTCTGATTTGATGGGTGTTCGCCTCCATTGAAATTGAGATCGAAGACTGTGTTAGTTAACGCCTACGCGGTGTTTACAATACATAGCTGTAAGGTAGGTTGCCTACCCATGAATTAACTAACACGTGGTATCTCCGCCTTTCAAATAATGAATTATAGGCTTTAACGCGTTTACTATCATTTAAAAAAACAATTTTTCTATGTTAAGATAAAAAGCTAAACAAACATTTCTTATAGAAACCTTTATCAACAATTACTGTAATGTCATAATGTCAAAGCAATAATTATTTGTCTAGATTAAATTAATAAATCACTCATAATTTAGTTTTTCATGTTTTGTACTTATTTTAAGTTTCTACTAACCATGCTGCCTTCAGTTCGGATCTTCAATTGTGAAGCCTATGGGGCCACTACCTTTCATTTTTTTATTCGCTTAGATGTTGTGTGCTGACGATTGTAGTGTACTCAACTTGGTCAGCCAGTATTCCATTCTTAGAATTTGTTTTTCCAATGTCAATTGCTTCGGAATTCATCAGTGGTCCATTGCAATGTTATGAACTTAAAATTGCCGCCTGTTGTGATAGATCAGCAAATGGAACAACTCAGCGTCTCTTCCTTCTTTAATTCTATTTTTAAACTTAGTGACCCATTGAAAAACACTCAAATGAGCTATAAAAGTTTCACTCTTGGAACGTCATTAAAAAAGATGGCAGCTTGACATTGTAAATCTAATAAATTTTAGAGCAGTGTTGTGCATCGTCAATAATCGACAAAGTTGAACCTCTCACTGAAAACAAATCCACTTTTTAAGTTCAAAGTTTCTTTTTCAAGAAATGAGGTGCCAAGTAAAATGTAAGTGTTAATGAAGCACGAAAATAAAGTTAGCGGTAGAGGGGACCAAAACAACGATTTTTTTCTTGGTTTCGTTTAGGAGCTCAGTCTCAAAACTTAACTTTTCTTAGCACCCTCAAAACGTAAGATTTTTGGTTTGCCCTTTCCGATTTTAGAAACATTTTTTCAAATTCTATCCCAAGATGACGTACCTCTAAAAGAAACATTACGTCGCTAAATCAAGATTTCATGGTTTGAAATGCATGGCGTTGTAAACAGTAGTGAATAATTTAAAAACGTGAAATCTTTAGCGACGCTTTGCAGCGCGGAATCTCGTCACGTCGCCAAGTTTAGTGCAACGCAAGTGAAAATCGACCTTAAATCGTAACAGGAAAAAAATATTTAAATCTTTTTGGACGCTCTGAATACGGTCAACTCCAAGAGAACACCCGAAAGCTTTCAAGCAAATCCTCAAACAATTAATGTACCTATCTTCTTCAGAATTCAGTATTATTTTTCAAAGAAGCGCAATTTTCTACAGCAGCAGTGGACATAAGACTAACTTGTAAATTCGAAAATGCAACCTTTTCTCAAATTCACTCTCTGAGTTTATCCCCAACACGCGCTCGTTCAGAACTTACTTACTTCAAGGAACATTTCACGTTCAGCCCCCCGTTCGCCCCAACTAAGTTGATCCCCTGGAATATCTACCTCCAAAATTCCCGCTCCCACAGGAGAATTCGCCCACGTCGCATCGGAATAGAGGCTTAGAAAAGTGGCCCAGGTAAATTTTTCCCTAAACATTTACCTCCGAAATTTTCACTCTCAAGGAAAATTTCCCCCCACGTAGAATACTCGCTTACCAGGAACTTGAGTCAAGAAATTTCACGTTTTATAAAACTCCTCCCTTTTAAACCTTCCTCTATGTAAATTTATCCTCGCATTTGCCTCCAAAACTTTCGCCCACACCAAAATAGTCGCTTACCAGGAGCTTAATGTTACAACACCCCCAAATAGAATTTATCCATTCATATGCATATTTTTGCACATATATTGCTAACTTCACAAGAAATATGCAAAATCTATTGCTGGTCGGTTATTGCTACCTTCACACGACTGAAGTTACTACAGATGAAGACAGATTGAGATCGTTAGTTATTTTTTACATTCTTTTGTACATTGTTAAGGTGATTTACCTAGTGTAGGAACAGAAAAAAAATAAGTCTATCTGACAATTAATTTCTACCGAAAAAAAGAAATTTATATAGACTACCTAATAGATAAGTTAAGCTGAAACATGAAAAACAAGCACTAAAAATGTTAATATTTATAGGCACCTACCTATTATCCCTCCAGCTCCTTAGGGCCCTAGGCTGCAGCTCAATATACCTTGTTGATGGTCCGTCATTAACCAGAAGATTAAAAAAAAATGAATATGGCTCTTCCACGCTGATGCAAACTGGTAAACCTGACCTAATATTTTTCAAAATACATACCGTTCAAAATAAGGCTTGAATCATAATTATATGTCTTACCACTACATAGACAGATGCAGTTCAGATATTTTGACGTCAAAACATATGAATTTAATGGGGCTATTGTCTGTAATATGACGTTCTCAAGAATACCGAACAATTTTTCGACATTTTGAGGTATTAACAGACTCTGAATAAATTAAAAGTCAACATCCAGCCTCCTCCTCTAAAATTGGGACACCGATGTGTGTTAAAGCACACGTAGAAAAGTGATGTTGTGCTGTAAGGTCGAAATCAGGAGACTAAATCAACATTCAGCCCCCCCCCCCTCTACAATGGGGATATCATGGGGCACATATAGACAATAGTTCGCACTTTTCTGCAAAAACGACGCTCTTGTGTGCTTTTATTATATGGGTCGCTCGAGCAAAAATTTGCACCTCTCGAGAAGATGCGATGAAAGGCCTGATGAAGATGTTTTCTTTTTGTAAATTTTCTGAAAAGATTTAAAGCTTTCCTTATACCTGTTTCAGCGACAGCTTAGATCCGCGCCGTTTAAACGATTTCGGCGGTTTTTACATCACTGCATATAAGGCTAAATTCCTTTCCCTCCCCAAGAAAAATCAAGCATTCGCTAGCCTAAGGCGGACTCAAATATCTGTATACGATTTTTACTACAGAATAATACTTCTTGCTATAATTACTCAATTAGACTTGGGAGGTCCCCTGGTTAAATCGAATGCACATTATGGACGATAATGGTACTTTTTTAGGATTTTATGGATGCAACTAATATTTAAACCCTAAACATGGGAATCTACTAAAAAGAAAATCCGAAAGAAATGGTATCATATCAATGTAATGGAAATCACTCAGAAACTGTTAGAGATAGCTATAGGAAAATGTCAACATATGCAAATTTTGATTCTCTAGCAAATGCAATAGTAAGAAAACGGGCATTTCATTTGAAAAAAACTGAACTTTTTTTAAGTACACTAAAAGCACGCCCTATTCTTTCTCTATGCATGTAACAATGGGTTGCCATAACTACACCCGTTTTTAAGTACTCAATCAAGATACCGTCTGCATCCGTTATTTTTTTAAGTCAAGATAAAAACCATAAATGGTAGACATCGACCTGTGGATATCAAAAGAACTGAAATTTCAGGTAGAATACACAAATGCAATAAAAAATAGGGACTTCAAATTAAAACAACGAAGTTTACTAGCTACTTCCCGTATTTCCGAAAGTGCCACCATTTTGAAAGTATTTTACATCGATTTTAAAAGTAACTCTTAAGTGCCTATTTCACTCTCCCAGAAACGTTCAACTAAAGCTCCCAAAAAACATCCTGTATGTATTTTGCAAGGTTAAAATAAACGCTCGTTAAAATACTGGTAATACTGAGGACCCTTGGTTATTCCATTGTATCGGTTTATTTAGTGACAAAGTGATGGAAATGTATATTCGTTCCCAGACGTTTGCGAGCCTTGTTTATATGAAATGAAAAGGTAGGTTCGTCCTACGATGTACTTATACAGAAATTTAACAACTGCAACTGACAGTAACGACACAAAATATTAAATACTGACACGCGTGTTATTCGAATCAAAATAATTCCTGTTTGTCTTTAAGCGTTCATCAATTATTCAATAGTGGAAAATCAATAGGCGGAGTTTTATTGGAAACCTATAAATCTGCAATTTTTTTTAGTAACAAGACACCCCTTGTTTTATTTTCGGATTACTCGTATCTTTTTTTTGCAGTCTGCAGTTACAGTGTTGACTACCGAGTTCGTCATGGATGAAATATAACGACGAGGTTCATAAACTACAACCTTGTCTTGTTGCGTTTGTTTACTTGTAACTGTACCTTTAACCGTGTTTACGGAATCTCTGATAATTGACTGAAACATTTTTGTGCCAAACTGCCGACACTAAAACTGAGCTTTGCTTTAATTAAATTGTAGCATTGCGTCAAGCGCATACACGGTGCAAATCCCAAAAAAAAATCCGGAAAATTTGCAACCAGCAAGCGAGATGATTAAATGAGGAGCCTAATTAAAATCTTGTATAAGTACTAAATTCGGTCTTGCTTGACTTTGTAAATAAACACCTAGTGAATACACCGTGGTGCCCCTTGGCTAAATTACTCAATAATATAACATTTCAAAATGGCATTTGCGGTATTTGTCCACTGTTATTTGCTTTTCCGAAACTGAAAAGACAAATAAATGTCGTAACTCGGCAATTAAAAGTGTATCTCACAATACAGGAAATAAGTTTCCGCCATTCAAATTTAAATATTAACATTCTGTTGGATACTTTCTCACATTCTATATACGCATCTTCCTCGTAAACAATAAATTCTTACTTACTTTATGCTCCAAAATTTTATTTTCTAGTTCAGTCTTGCTCCATTTGACCCTAAAAACCAAAGGCTTTAGGCGCGTTTCTGTACTTTTCATCCACGTACGCAATCTCTTCAGCTCGTGCTCCACATCTAAAAAAAATGACGAAATTTAAACACACACGAATTTAGTGCATCAGAAAATGGTTCGTCGGGATTATACATGCATGCGTACAACCATTGAGAGCAACGCTGAAGAGTTTTTTTGTAGCTATTTTGGTCGGAATGTCTTCAGCCATTCCGACCTCAACAGTGACATTTGTTTTTAGCGCTTAGTTATATTTAAATTAAGCCTATTTGTCAAATTCATTTAAACGATTAGGTTATGTACTGATATTTCTTTAATTAGTAGACCAATTACATGAAGAAATTGTTCCACTAGTTGTCGATGTACATTTCCGTGAAATTAAGATGTATTGACTAAAAATAAGCTCACGGTTAAAAAGAAGGGTATTCATTCTAACGTGGGGAGAGTAACGCATTTAACTCAAAAAGCTCTTGTCACTTTTTTTTAGCTGTTATTAGCGCTCGCGTGGAAGCTATTAATGACGACGAAAATAACTAGGGAATTTGATCGATACTATACGCACACAGTGGATTGATAACTGCGGTTAAGCATTAAACGTGTCGAAGATAAAACGTAATTACGGTTTGTTTACGAAGGGGCGATTTTTATCGATAGATATATGCACGAAATGCGTATAATCTCAAAACCCCACCAAATTTGATTTCAGTAGTTGGTTGCCGAAATTGATCAAAATTATAAATTATCAACTCCAAATCTTAAAATACGTAAAAATTTGTCTAGAGAATAGGCGATTTAATTTTAAAAAAAAAGGCATCGTTTTAACCGGATTGGTAGAAACAATTGTCCCAATAATTGTAACCATAACAAAATCTACCATAACCCGGTTAAACCGGTTGAATTTTCGTAAATCCCCAAAATTGTAAACGTTTTATATAAAGCACAGTTATTACCTTATTAGTTCGAGAGCTCGGAATAAAATTCAGCAATGACATTTTACCAAAGGTTTGTGCCCAGGGGCGGACTGGCCCGGGGGGGGGGGGGGCGATTGCCACCTAGCCTGTAGATCATAATGGCCCGTTGGAAATTTATAAGTATGTGCTGTATTTAGTTTCTTGCACTATTAATAAATTATTAACACGTTTCTCTAATTGGGGTTGATGTTAGGTTGTTAAAAAATTCTGTTTTAATTGAAGTGTTTTACAATGAATTTATCATTTTTTGTCGTAGTATTTTGAAAGTGCTGAAATACAATGATAGGCGACGCACCTCGTGTGGATTGTATATTTTGTTACTTTTAATTATCAGCTGCAATTAAAAAAAAACTGTATGGTAATTGATTTTCGAGAAAGGAGTACTTTAAAATGTTTTTGTGGTGCACCTCAGAGCTAACCCCCCCCCCCTCGCCACCTTCATTACTACACTAATACTTTAATGGCCCGTAAGTACCCAGTCCGCCCCTGTGTATATAATTTCTCGGGAAAACGCTTTTTCTTATTAATTTGGGTGCGTAGAATCCAAATCAATTCGTACTTTTTCGATCAGACTTCTCAATCAAAAGTTATAGACTAGAAACCAATTTCGAAAAAAAAATTCAAAGGGCTGTAACTTTTGAACTAGTAGCCCAATCTTGGAACTGTTTGAAATTATGGATTCTACAGGCCACATTCTATAAGAAAATTTTTTTTCCGGGTCGATCTGAGACAATTTTTATTTCGGGGTTCAAAAAAAGGCAGTGTATAACCTTCCTTTTTTACCAAAAATTGACTGCACCAAAATTTCTCGGGAAAACACTTTTTCTTATTAATTTGGGTGCGTAGAATCCAAATCCTTTTTCGATCAGACTTCTCAATCAAAAGTTATAGACTAGAAACCAATTTCGAAAAAAAATTCAAAGGAACTGTTTGAAATTTTGGATTCTACAGGCCACATTCTATAAGTGGATTGATAAAGACACTAAACCTTCTTTATCAATCCACTTAGTCAATATCACCCCGTTTTGAGTCGTTATAAGATGGATAGCTACCAACACATTCTATAAGAAAATTTTTTTTCCGGGGCCATCTGAGACAATTTTTATTTCGGGGTTCAAAAAAGGCCATGTATAACCAGGGGCGCACTGGCCCGGGGGGGCGGGTGGCGATTGCCACCTGGCCTGTAGATCATAATGGCCCGTTGGAAATTTATAAGTATGTGCTGTATTTTGTTTCTTGCACTATTAATAAATTATTAACACGTTTCTCTAATTGGGGTTGATGTTAGGTTGTTACAAAATTCTGTTTTAATTGAAGTGTTTTACAATGAATTTATCATTTTTTGTCGTGGTATGTTGAAAGTGCTGAAATACAATGATAGGCGACGCACCTCGTGTGGATTGTATATTTTGTTACTTTTAATTATCAGCTGCAATTTTAAAAAAAACTGTATGGTAATTTATTTTCGAGAAAGGAGTACTTGTTAAAATGTTTTGGTGCACCTCAGAGCTAACCCCCCCCCGCGCTACACATACTTTAATGGCCCGTAACCTATGCAATTCCACCTGGCCCGCAGTTACCCAGTCCGCCCCTGTTTGTGCCCTTTAAATTACAAGCTAATACTCATGTATTGCGTCTCTGCTTACTGGATATTAATATTGCCATAGAAATTAATAGACAATTGTAAAAACCGATCTTGTATTGGTCAATTTTTTCTTCGACCCGAACAATAATCAGATAACACGCTATTAGGTAAGCGACTCATTAACAATAGGTACATATACATAGTATGGTATAAGCTCTCCGTGAAAATAGCAGAAAATCACAGCCTCTAAAAACCCGAATGACCATTGAGTCTGCTAGGGTCTTATAGACTTGCAATGAGATTCGCCGGCTGTAATCAACCCTTAAGCATTAAAAAAATTAATATCAAACGCGTGCCATTCATACTTAGCAATTACCCCAACGCACATTCATACTTGGTAATAAAGATATTTACCCCAAGGTGAAACAACAAGTTGGGGTCTCATCGTCTTGCAATAGCATGGGGTGTAATCAACCCTTAAAGCATTTAAAAAAAATGAATCAGAAGAGCACATTCATACTTAGTAATACAATTGCTCATCCCAACACGAAACAACCGCTACATGTATATGAAAGATGCACAATTTTTGTAAGAAAAGAGATCGCTTCGGAGATGCGACCACCATTTCCACATCGAAGCCGTACCCTCATCCAATAAGTACATCATCGACGAACAGGTAGAGCGAGACCAATTTTTTGTCAGTTCGAACCCAGTATCGCCCATCATATTCGGCCAAGCTTGGCCAAATTAAACAAAAGGCCGTACTAGACTACGAACGATGCTTTAACCATTGGGGAACAATCCAACGCCGCACGATCCACTGGTCCAGAGAAACCTCGAAGGATGTCCAGTACGGATTTCCACAGCCGCTAGACAAGGTACTACAAGGGTTGATTACACCCCGCGAATTCCATTGCTAGTCAATGTGATCCCAACATTTGTAAATGTGGAATTACGTCAGAAATGGGGACGGTTCAATTGGCGTGTTAGTTGTTTACCGTACCTGTATAGCAATAATACATAACGTTTACATTTCAAACTAGGGGAGTTTCGCTTTTGTCGTGTGTAGACTGTAGTTCCTACGCACAGTTTTTTTGTTTTACGTGGAGGTTGGCACTATTATTGAGAAGTATGGTGCTCTGCTGATGCAAGCTTTTGCTATGAATTTATTAATGTTTTAAGGGTTGATTACATCCCGTAAACTTCATTGCAAGTCAATAAGACCTAATTTTTTGTTTTAGGATGGGGGTAAGCACTTTTATTCAGAAGTATGAATGTGCTTTTCGGATTTGCTATGAACTGTTTTAATGCTTTAAGGGTTATTTACACCCCATGAATCCCATTTCAAGTCGATTAGACCTTACGTTGTTGTTTCGCGGTGTGAATGAATGTGCCCTTCTGAGTGTTAGCATATGAAATACCTTTAGTTGTGTTAGGTAGTAAATAGGTAATTACATGATAATAATTCATACAAATCCCTTGCTAAATTCTAATGGCTGTAAAAGCAAACGTTTTCTTCCAAAATGATCGGTTGAAACATTGAAATATCTTTTTTTGCGAAAATCGACGCTATTCTGCAAATGGATAAGACGTGACGAAGCTGAAATCCAATTTTATTTGTCATATATGTAGAATCTGTAAGTGTGTATTATTGAAGGCGAAGTTTTCGAGCGCACTGGTCACAATGGACATTCCAAAGATAAGTTGATACGATCGACTTATGTGGCGATGGTTTCGTCGAAGTCCGATCCCTACTTCCAAAGTCCAAGTACCTATCATTTTTCACACGATCTGACCCGTTCCCATATTTATCGAGCCAATACAAACATGTTTGATATTCGCATAATTTCTAAAGCCTTTCTTTATACAACAGTTTGATGAAGCTTATAACTCCCAATGGGCAAACTGACTTCTTTTCTCATCACATTTACGTTTACATTCACCAATAACTGTACAGTAGAAGATATCTCATTGTGATTATAAATGTTATTTGACAGCTAACATTTAAAGGAAATTGAATGGAATGTAAAGCAGGAAGTCGAGAAACGCAAAAAAGCACTTTAAAAATTAGTGTAGCGTACGTTTACTTCAATCAAAACACATATAGGTATTTGTCTTAATTGAATTAATTATCTCAAGTAGATAATTCCGGTTTGAATATTTAAGTATGAAAGTACTGTCGATCTCGATCCAATTCTCATGTTTATAATCATATAAATTGACGGTAACGATGAGCATAAATTTATGCGATAGTTAACTGTTGAGAGCTTATGATAAATTTGAATGAAATAAGGTCAACAATTTTCAATCTGTGCATTCCCTTCACATATAAAAAAAGGAGAAACCTCAGACTTCTATTTACAACGGCCAAAAAATTATCCGAAGTAGACGTGGCGGAATGTGGACAAAATGAAACTTATATCTTTGAAAAGTTGAATATTGCACCTTTCGTGTGCATTCTATTCCGGCAACACGCGCAACCGGCCCAAAAATAGCTAAGCTGCGCCTG